AGAAATTAAAAGGTGAGAGAAAGATGCTTGTTTTCAATGAAGCCTATTTCACAAAGCCAGCAAGGGTTAATCCAACCAGCGAAATGCTTGGCTTTAGCTGCAATAGAGAAATCCTGTGAGGTTGAGTGATAAGCCTCCAGCCATACCTGCTTGGATTCTCAAGGACTGTGCCTGAACATGTTGGGGATGGCTCACATCCAGCAGCTGCTGATAGGGAGTCCACAATGCCAAATGACTCAAAAGCCAAACAGCTTCATCCCTGCCCTGAGTGCATACCCAGCATGTGTCCAGAAAAAATGCCCAGAACCCAGGCACTGGAGACAGAAACAATGGGCTAAACTCTGCTCTTGGGCAGCAATGTGGCTCTGAGTGCTGGGTCTGGCTGAACAGAGATCCTGACTCCAAAATAGATTCCAGAAGACTGGATTGTTTCTAACGTGTGTCCTTGTGAGATAGGGTGAGTTTGGAGGTAAGGGGATGGTGGTAGAAAGGGCTGCATGTCATGTGTCTGGAGATGATGGTTTCAGGGTCATGTCATGATTTTTGTCTTTTCTGGCTTGACTTCTGGTTTGGAAGCGGCTCAGTAGAAATTGAGGTCATTTCAAGTGGTGCAATGACACTTTCTGAAAAGCACTGGCTGCTTCATGCAGTGAGACTGAGCTACCAGCTGGGAGGTCTGAAAAGCCAGAGTTGTTCTCTGGTACAATGTGAGACAGGCAAAGGAGAAGCTGTCCTTGGAGGAGCTGGTGTCGGAGCATGAGTGGGAGTGCACACAGCACTGCCCCCGCCATGCTTTCCAGAATTGGTTTTACACTTTAACACTGGCTATGGCTTATAATTTTCCATTCTTGCTCAGAAATTATAGAGGAGTGAAAGGGAGATGGGTTTCAGCTGTCAGCGCTTCAGGAGCATTCAGCAGCATTGCTGGATGAAAGGAACAACGTGGTCTTTTTGCTCTGCAGAGGTCTCAGAAATACCCAGGCATGAAGCACTGTGTGGTTTTGGGCCTGGTGAGAGGGAAGGCAGAAGCTGGTGCCAGCCCTTGGTCCTCCCCTGGCTGCTGGAGCTCTTTGAAGATGTCATACATCTGGTGCTTTCCCATTTAGTCCTTTCAAGAGGCTCATTTGAGAGCAAGGTTTGTAAGGAAGAGCCAGGAATAAACAGCTCACGATGCCGTTTGTGGGATGAGAGGAAAATAAGAAGGGAATTGTTAAAGATGGGACAGTCAGTGAATAAAAGCCTGGTTATTAATGGGGCTGACATTTTGCTATGGCTGTTAGACTGTGTGTGTCACAACATGACTCCTCCCATAGTATGTGGAGGAAAGGAAAACCTTTGGGTCTGTAACACAGCAGCTAACGAGACATTATCTTGCAAATAAGATAATAAGCATTATCTTGTTTGCAAGATAATGTCTCATTCTCTCTAACAGAGAGCCTGAGATGCAGGGGAGCGTTTGTCTCCTGGGGATGGCCTTCCACCAGTGCTCTGCACTCTTGCAGGGCTTCTCTCCCCTTGGCCTCATTCAGTCCCACCAAGCAGACAGTTGTGACATCACCTCTCCTTCAGGGACCCTCTAGTTAAAATTTTTCTTTCTCTCAGAGCTTTTATAAACTGAAGTTCTGCACGAGTTTTAACATCATCCTTTGTGCCCTATCAGTTCAGTCACTGCTCTCCAGTTGGTCTAAATTGCATTGTCCCATTTTTACTGGTGACTACAGCCAGTTATCACAGTTCATGTCTCCTTCTGTTTGTGTTAGCCATGGTGACCATCAGCTTTTGAATGCCCAGGTATCTCTGTTCCTTGGCCACCTGTTCCCTCCTGGCTCCGAGGAGCGCGGCGTGTTGGCACAGCAGAAGGGTGCTGTGCTCCAGGGTTACTGACACAAACACAGGAAGGGTACCCAGGGCATGAAAGCACTCTGCCACTGCAAAGAGGAGTGGTAGATAATATGTGAGTTAATATTGAACTGGGATTGTTTCTGGGCTGGCACAGCAAGAACAAACAGGTCAGGAACCACAGCACTGCGAGGGATCACGTGGAGGGCAGGGCCATGGCTTCAGTGCTGACCATCACAGGCCACCGTGCTGTGGGGGAAGAGGGTCACACTCACTTATTCCTCCTCTCCCCAGGGCATAAGAATAAATAGTCTTTTAATAGCACTGTGTGCATCCCCAGCAAGTCCTTTTAGAGCCCTTGGGATTTGTTATTAATGGGGAAAGCAGTGGCAGTGCGTTGGTGTCAGTAGAAGGGCGATGACAGAGAGGCTGAGGCCATGTGTGCTCATGACCCAGAGGAGGACATTCGTTTTGGACCACTCTGGGTCCTTCATAGGTACAGGTCTCTGACCCTGGAAACATCACAAGGGCTATGAAACAGCTCTGCCTTCTAATATATAACCACACAGACCAGCACATCAGAGAGGTCACTGGCATTGAGGTGGCTCCTACCAATGGGGTTTAGCAACTCTCTTGGAGATACCTCCTATTAATAAGTTATTACCTGAAATGGGAGGGGTGGAAGGGAAGTGACATTTTTGTGAAAGAGGTGAATTAGAAGGTGATGTCAACTTTCAGGCTGCTGCTATTTTTCACTTGTTCTAGCACATTTGTTGCACAAGTGCAGTAGGGAGCACTCATCACTCCCCATTTCTTACCACAAGAGGTTTTTGCTGCACCACCAGCCTTGGATAGACAAGAGTTGTGTAGCCCAGACAATGGGCAATTTTCTTCCCTTCTCTTAGACAAGAGGCTGGGATGCCACAGCAGCCTCTCCCCTGCAGCCCTGTTGTACAATTTGCTTGCCCACAGTGCTAAAGCCCTTTAAATGTTACCAGCAGAATGATCTGGAGAGCCTTTCCCTCTGCTTTATTCCTCCTGGGTGCCATTTCAGTGATATTCACGTTAGAAAAATAGTCTCAGTAAGTACAGAGTATACCACCACGTTTGGCCTAAAGAGCTGTGTAAGGATAAAAGCATCACTTTAATACATGCAATTTGTATAAAATTATCTGACAGTGAGTGCTCAGAATGGCCCCACCTGCAGCTCTGAGTCATGGCAGCAATTTTGACTGGGAGGTGGACATTTTATCAACTATGATTTTCTCACATCTGGGGAGCTGGAGAGACACAGCACTTCAAGAGACCTGCAAAAAAAAATCTAATTACTAATTTGTTTTGGACAAATTAGTAATTTCCTTGTATGCAAAGATGCTGCACAGTTTATTTACATATTTTGGGGGCTAGCTAACATTCTTTTTTTCCTCTGAAGTCTTTCCTTGCTTCAGTTTCTGTGTGAGAGAGGAGAAAATACTGAACCACAAACCCACTTCCTACTGAGAAATCACAACAGCTGTTAAAAATTATTGGAAAATCAAAGGGTTTGTGTGAGGGAAGAAATGCAGCTAATCCCAACCTGGGAGTTACTGCTCCAGCACCTGGTTTCTCCTCCTGCCTTTCACTGCTGTTCTTTATGTCCTTCTGGTATGGGACCTCTCAAGGAGAAGAACCAGCCTTTGGATGCAAGAGAAAGGATAACTCCCCAAGTACAGTTGCTTCAAGGTGTCTTAAAAGGGGCAGATCCCATAAAATGGAGAATAAAGTTCCTGTCACAGCGCCCTGCTACAGCTCAGCTCTTCAGAGCAGCCTGGAGAAGCAGGAATCAGGGATGTGCCTTCATAAAATGGTTAATTGATTACTGCCAGCCAGTGATTATGTGAATCATTGAGCACATCGTGGCTGTGCAGTGCTGGAGATGTCTGAGACACTGACCTACCAAAACTGGCAGTGTTGCTGCTTAGCTCTTCCATGTAAGTGTGGAGGTCACTGCTGAACCCACTGGCAGCTCAGCACATGCTGCACGTGTTTTATGAGGCAAAAGAAATGTTTGGGCAGAGGCAAAATTCACTGCTGGCCTGCAGGCAGAGCCACGTGAGATGTGACTGGTAGGTAATTGCAGAAGCACTTGGTTTCCTTAAGGCTGAGTGTGCCAAAGGCAGGGGAGTAATGTCCAATGCAGGTGAGTGTGATGTAGGGTCCTTGTGGGTCTACTGGCATCTTCAGAGAACACAGAGAAGGGGGCGGTGCTGGACTGAACAGAGGAAGAGATTTGTGGACCTTCTCAGTGTGACAGGGACAAAGGACACCACGTCCTGACCCATCCCCACCCACCAGCCCAGCGTGTTTGCACACACTGGAACTAAACTGGCCAGAGGCTCCACTGTGTCTCCCATACAGGTAATGCATTCCCATTTCTCTGACAGAAAGCAGCCAGCCCAGTGTCTGTGCCTGAGGGGGAAACTGAACTGCCTAAAGCCAAATGTCATCATCTTGTGCAACCTGAGTGCAGAGAGAACGCCCGGGGCAGAGGGAATGTGGGAATCCATCCCCAGGCGATGAGGCTGGGGAGTGCTGGAGATGTGGGCACCGACTGTGGGACCGCCCGGCCCGCGGCACCTCCTGCCCACACGGCCCTGTCCGGGTGGCTCCCTGGGGCTGGTCACCGACTCAGGCAGAAGCTCCACTGAACAGGTGAGACTACAAATTATGCTGCCACAGGATTGATCCTTCGGAGGATCTGCCTTCCAGCCTGGGCAGGTGTTTGGTGAAGGTCTGTCTCCTCCAGCCCGTTCCCTCCTGGACCCGAAACAGGAGATACAGGGCACGACACATGGAGGTGGGAGAGGAGGCACAAGGGAAGGCGCATCTGCACAGACACCCGCGGAGCTGGGACAGACGGGACACAGGAGTAGCTCCTAGTCCCTCCAGAGGCAGCACGAGGAGCTCGGGGCGCTGCCGCTTGTGCAAACCGCCCTTTCAGCAATTTCCAGCCGCAGGGGAGCGGGGACCGACACCTCGGTCCCGGAGAACCCCGCTCCCGGGGGACGCGCCCGGGGCCCGGCCCTGAGGCACCGAGGGGCGGGGAGGCACCGCCTCCCTCACGTGATGGCGGGCACGGGCCGGGGCGCGGCGGCGGGAGAAGCGGGCGGACAGCGAGCACCATGCAGCTCCTGCCCAGCCTCTCCCCCGTCACTTGGCTGCTCCTCGTCGCCCTCCTGTGCCTCGTGGCCCTGTAAGTAGAGGCCGGTGCCCTGGAGGACCGGACGGAAGAGCCCGGTGCCAGTGCGGTTCGAGTGAATTAGCGCTGAAACCACGCGGGACCCCCGCGCTGCCCTCAGGGCACAGCGAGGGCTGCTCAGGGCGGCTGCGGGGCCTCGCTGCCAGCGGGAAGGAGCGAGCTGGGCTCGGCGGGGAGGGAAATTAAAGGAAATCCTTGACTTTTTTAAGCTTTTCCCAGGAAGGAACTTCCGGTTGTTTAAAGACAGAAGCGCCCGTGACGTCCTTGGGCTGTGCCAGCTGGGAGCAGCGCAGGGCGATGCCGGAGCTGCTGCTAGCAGAACCCTCCCGATTAAGTAGTTCTGTTGGCAAAACTTCGGCTTATATGGCTCAGGGGAGCTGTAATGAGCTATACAGGCAAAAACTTAATTTTGCTGTGGTAATTTATGTCCCTGCCGTGCTGCTGTACTGCGGCCACCTGAGCATCGCAGGAGGTCTTTGCAAAGACAAACACAAGGGCAGGCCTCAGCTTCAGAAATCACTCCGAGATCTTTCCTGAGTCAGCTGAGCCACAGTTGTCTGAGCTGGGCAGCTAAATGAGGCCCAGAGGTGCCCAGGTACACTGGTTTGCTTTGGCTGGGCTGCAGCTCCTTCCAGCCCTTGTCTTCCATCAAAACGTACACCAAGTGATCCTGCGTTTATTGCAAAGAGTATCTTCAGCAGGGCTGCTGCTGGTCCACAATTTCAGCTTGCCCTGAGTGACAGAAACCAGTTATTTGAGCAGTTCCCTATGCTTAGGAAGAAGTATCTTCTCTTTTCATTGCATAAGTGCTTCTCACATGCTCTTTGTTGGCAGCTATGGGATATGGCCCTACCGGACCTTCAAGAAGCTGGGCATTCCTGGCCCACGGCCTCTGCCATTTGTGGGAACTTTCCTGGAGTACCAGCATGTGAGTACCAGCAGCTGCTGCTCTGTAGTGTCTTAGATCCTTCTTGTGGCTGGTGCTGTTTTCCCCATTCTTTGGGCATCTCTTTCCTTCATCCTCGATTCAGTCAGATGAAAATTATGCTTTTTGGTAGGAAGCTCTTTGGACACACAGAGAACATAAAAGTTCAGGCTGACCTGAATGAGGTGTGCTGTATTATAAAACTACTTTGTAATTTAAATTTTTTGTTTCTCCCTGTGTTTCTCCCTGGTCTTGAGCAACTGAAGTTCTGTTGGAAACAAAAAAAGTATTGGAGAGATTTCTAAGACTGCTGTTTTCTGGGAACTGGATGTTTCTTTGCCCTTTTTATCACCAACATGAAGAGGCTGAATTAGCTCCAGAAATGCTTCATCCAATCACTTATTTTTGGGCCAGCCTGAGACTAAGCCAGACAAATACATTTTTAAATACAACTCAAACATTATCAAGCTACCTCAAGTAGCTGACCACAGGTAACTGGTTGCAAATGCAGAATAAGTGTATTGGCTTCAATAAAAGAGGTGTTTTACTTGTATTTGCTGGGTTCACATCATTCATGTTGCCTCTCGCTAATGGTTCAGTGAGCCTTATGTGTCTGGTAAGTTTCATTGTTACATGTAACATCAGTTAAAACCTGAATTGAAACAAAATAAAAGTCTGTGTTCAGTAACTGCAGAGGAAGATCGTATGAGGACGAGACAGCAGCAGCTCTAACTTGTTGAGCAGAAGGTGAAAGGACACCCTGGGATCACTTCTGCCTCCTAACTCTGCTGACTAAAACTTTGTACCCTGTCATACCTTGTCTTCATTACATTTTTAGATCATGTTGGCTGGTAGAAGTTGAAAGTGCCTTTTTATTTTTTCAATCTCTGCTCTCTTTTTTCTCTCCAATGCGAATGTCCCCATAGCATCTGCATGATGCTTAAGAGGACCATGCACCTCCCAACCTCAACACCTCTGCCACTTCCAATGGGCTGTGGGATGCACTGTGCTAACAGCTGTGGCCTGCTTTGATCACTTTTCACTAGCAAACTGTTCATTTCTCCTTTCTTCTTTTCCAGGGAGTCCACAATTTTGATCAGAAATGCTTTGAAAAGTATGGAAAAATCTGGGGGTGAGTTTCTACAGAACAAAACTACCAGTTTGGGGTCCTCCACAGCCCCAGAGTAGAATGGAAAAAGTTACACTGATGTTATGTTCCTCAGTACTGTAATTCCAGCAGTGACAGTGTGGGATAATCAAGGTTTAGCACAAGGAGGGAAAGTCTCCTCCCATCCCTCCAAGACTTTCTCCTGCTGGGATTTCAGTGTGGTGTGGGGCTGAGATGGTGATGGCCAGTTTATGGGGTCATTTTCTTGCATAAGCTTTGAAAATCACCTCCAGTGCTTGGTGTCAAACTGAGCCTCCTGCCTTTGAAGCTGCTCTTCTGTGTCTGGAGCAGAAAGCAAGCTGCAGGCTGCCACAGTGTTTTTCATCTTGCTCCCTGCTTCTCCCAGAGCTGGGGCACAAGCTACCTTTCAACCTGCCTCCCTGCTCCCTGCACAGTGCTTGTTTTATGCAGAGGCTTCTTATCATGCTTCCACTGAGAACCTCTCAAACCAAAACAAAATTGCTCTGCAAAAAAAATCCTGGGAGGCTTCATGAAACCTGGTGCATTTTTTTGAAAGATTAAATGTTCGCAAGCTTCTTGAAGATGGCAGCTTCCCTGAGCTGTGGCCCAGGGCTCCCTGCCCTTTAGCCCACACCAGGACTTTTAAGTTTTTCTGTCTCTGTTGATTGGAAAATGGAGGAGACAGATGAGGTTTTCACCTCTCAGTACCTTGTAGGCCAGGCAGGAAATCTCTTTCCCCCACAGGTAGATTGTTTGGTGTGTGTTTCTTGTCTCCAGCCATCAGTAGTGGAAACAGCTCAGACAGCCCAAGTGCAGGGGATCAACATCGTGGCAAAAAGCTGCCTTTTATCTAAACCCACACAGCTTTGGCAACTCTTCAGTACCACAGACAATTGCTAGAAATGTTCATGTTGCCCATGTTTGTCACTGTCATTCCCTTTCTCCTCTTTCACTACATCACAAACAAATTCCAGCCTCATCCTTCCAGCTGTTTTGTCAGAGGGCCCAAACCCTTTGTGCCGTGGCTCTGGCCATGGACAGAGCAGGCTGCTTTTGCTCCAACTGACCATGAAGGATGGACTGACTGTGGGTTTCTATTGGCTTAGGTTTTATGATGGCAGGCAGCCTGTGCTGGCTGTTTTGGACCCCGTCCTAATCAAAAACATCCTGGTGAAAGAGTGCTACAGCATTTTTACTAATCGCCGGGTAGGTACCCAGTCCTGTGCTTTGCTGTTCAGTACAGAGCATATGCAGCAAGAAAGGAGTTTCTTCTTGGTTTCTATTCTCCTCTGAGCCCTTCAGCAAGTACTTGCTCTCTGATGTGCCTCAGTTTATTGATGGTACCAACATCAAAACTCTGCTAGGGAGGTGCAGAGGCCCCTCTGACTGGGACATTGTGCCATCAGCCTGGATGTGCCCTAGGGGCTGATGTAATTTATGATTCTTAGACTTTTGTTTCCATTTCTGTTGTTTGCTGGTTGAGGTGGAGCTGACATGACTTCAGGGGCCGAATCAACACTCCATGGAAGATTTTTCTTTGCATTTTTGTCACATGTAAGGGGGCTGTAAACCTTCACCTGTCTCCTGTTCCCATGTGCAGAACTTTCGTCTGAACGGGATCCTGGAGTCGGCCCTCAATGTGGCTGAAGATGAGCAGTGGAAAAGGATTCGTACAGTGCTGTCTCCAACCTTCACCAGTGGGAAGCTGAAGGAGGTAAAGCACAGGCACTGGTACTTTGCATCCATAGCTGGAGGAGAACTGAGCTGTTTCTGAGTGCAGACCTTCCCCTCAAATGGGGAAGCCGCCCTGTTTGCCAGGACCACATCCATGAGCACCTGCATTGTTGTTACCATTCAGCAATGCAGTGTCTGGCTGCCATCCCAGGGAGGGAGTCAGGAGAAGGGGGTGGGGGATGAAAGAGCACACAAGGCATTGCAAGCTGAGGCTGTTGGTCCTATGGCCTGTATGTCCATCCTGCTAAACACACCAGGCTTGTCCATTTTCCATGCGCCCAGGAGCCATGTTCATCCCAGCTGGAGTGGACGCTAAGCTGGAGTGGGAGCTGTGCGTGGATTTTTGGAGGAGAGCCTTGCTCAGTCCTAGTCAGATGAGCTCTCTGGACAGGTTGTTAAGATGAGAAAAAGCAGTGACTGAGGCCTGGAAATGAGACCCTCCCCCTGCTTGTCCTTCCTCCCCAAGCCAGATGTGGCAAGTAGCAGATGGCAGTGTGGCCCAGCCTTGTTTGGTGGCAGAGAAAGAGTCAACAGTGCTTTCTGCTTTGGTTTGCATTTCAGATGTTCCATATCATTAATCACTATGGTGAAAAATTAGTGAAAAACATTGAGAAGAAAGTGGCTAATGACGAGTTTGTGGCTGCAAAGGAGTGAGTAACTGTGTGGGGCTGACAGGAAAGGGTTTGTATTCAGTGTGGGGAAGGGACTGTTCTGAAGAGCCTTTTTCACACTGCAGCATGGATCCCTTGCCAGCTAGGGAAGCAAACTCCACAGCAGTCATGGGCATGGCATGTTCCTGAGCACTGGGCTTGCTGTGCTCTGCTTTGCTCAAATGGGAGAGCTGTGCCCTTTCCCCATTTCATTTTACTGGGGATGCATTTTGAGGTAGGAAGCATTTCCCAGAGTTTTTCTAGAAGCTGCACAAGATACAGTATTTTTGGATGTCATTTTTGCAATCTCTTTTACAGATGAAAATCAGAATATAGTTGTTGTTACCCGAGACTACAGTGCTTTCCGACTACAGCTTAGGTTTTTGAAGCTTAGAAAAGTTGTGGGAATTAATGCAATGGGGAAACTTCAAAAATAAAGTGATGGTTACTGCCAGGTCAAGACAGACCTACTATGCTAGGACTGTGAATTAAGAGATTCCTTCTCACAAGGATTGTTCCTAGATGGGCTCTTATTTACTGCTGTGGTTGGGTTCATCTCATTCACTCTCTCTTCTTCTCTATTCAGCATTTTTGGAGCTTACAGCATGGATGTGGTGACCAGCACTTCTTTCAGTGTCAATGTTGACTCCATCAACAACCCCAATGACCCCTTTGTCACCAACATTAAGAAATTTCTCCAATTCAGTTTCATAAGTCCTGTGTTCTTACTTTTAGGTAAGACAAACCTCATCTCATATAGCCCTGAATCAATGTCAAAGGTGCTGCATTTTCTGCAAGCTTCCTTAGTAGCTTTGAGTCCTTTTTGCCATATGGGAGATGCTCAACACTTTGCAGGATTAGATTTACAGTCTCAGATCTGCAGAAATATTTCCCCAGGGAAACCACAGCCAGGATTTTAACAGCCCATGTGGATCTTGGCAGCATCCTCCTATGAGGAGAGACCCTGTCTGCAGAGATGGTGGGGAGCTGCTCTAGGAGAGAGTTGCACTTAGTGTGGTGTTGTGGTCATAAAGTAACATATGGAGGAGGTCTCAAGTGCTGTTGCATCTCAACCATGGTTAGGTAAAAAGAGATGGAGACAACAAAAAGGGTCAAGGTCCAAATGTGCTGCTTCTTTCTATGCTTTGGGCCAGTTTGGATTTTCCCAGGGCCCCCTTTGAGCTCAAGTGTGTTGGTCTCTTCTTTCCTTTTAGTGTTGTTCCCCTTTGTTACCCCTGTGCTGGAAAAGATGAAGGTGACTCTGTTACCCTCAGATGTCATGGACTTCTTCAAGAATGTCTTCACCAAAATGAAGAAGGAACGGGAGAAGGGCAGCAGCACGGTGAGTCCAGCCTAGGTGGCCTCTTCTCTTCAGGAAAAGTCCTGAGTGCAGGAGGAATCTGGTGGCATCCTCAGAAGCTGTGGTGTGTCACCTGCTCTCCAAGCCCACCAAACCCAAGAAAGGCCAGAACCACACCCTGCTTGGGGGTCCAAGTGGAGAAAGTATTTGTGTTCCTGAAGGGTCTGTAGTCCAGACCCTCATGTACTGAAGCCATGAGGTGTGAGTGGAGCAGGTGTCTCAGCAAGGGACTTGTGCTGGACAAGGTTTGCCTCTTCCCCACCCACATCTTCTCTGCCTCTGTTGCTCCCCAGGACCGGGTGGATTTCCTGCAGCTCATGATTGAATCGCAGAACTCACACGATGGCTCCAAGTCTGCTGAGACCAACTTGGACAAAAGTATGTCTTGAGATGTGTCCTCCTCTCAGCAGAAAGCAGTAGTTCCTTCTCCCATTTTAAAGGGAAGTAGGGAGAGGATTTTAGTCATTAATCCCATGAAAGATTCAGGGTCTTAGTAGTGGGGCCATAATGTTGTTTATCACAGGTCAGCCATATTTTCATTGTATCTCATTTTGTGGGATAACTTCTGAGGTGTGTTTGTGCAACAAAGAACAAAAAGAGTGAGTTTTTCCTTACCCCCATTTCTTACTTTGTTGTCTCTGTAGGCCAGCAATGTTGGCTGTATATCAAAAAGCACACAAAGCACATATGCTGTGTGTACCTTGCTCACCTGTGAGCTCACCTCTGTTCCCTATACTAGATAAACTGTAAGAAGATAAAGGCTCAGCCAATGCATAGTCCTGGTCTGTCAACTCAAGGCAGGATGCTTTTAAACTTTTGAAGTGCCAGGACAGGGTATTTGTAGGACACACTGCACTGCATCCTGCACTCCTTTGTGGTACCAGAGGGTAAGCTGGATGTTTCTTTTACCAACCATTATGTAGCTAGGAATAGCATTACCTAGACAGGTGACTGGGATCCTCAATTGCCAAGGGTTAATTACTGTAATTTTCAGCTTCTGATATGTGCTTCTATGCCTTTTTTCAGCATTAAGTGATGAGGAGATTCTGGCCCAGGCTCTTATCTTTGTCTTTGCTGGTTATGAGACCACCAGCTCCACCCTCAGCTACATAGCCTACAACCTGGCCACCCACCCTGACGTGCAGCAGCGACTCCAGGACGAGGTCGATGCACACCTGCCCAACAAGGTAAAGGAGGGTGGGCTTGTTCCCACCTGCCTTGCCAACCCAGGCTGGAAACAGAGTGGCAGAGGTGCTGGCACTGAGATCCCCCTCCCCTGGAAGCCCTGGGGGGCTGTGGGGTGGCAGCTGCTGTGCTGTGTTCTCAGTCCTCCCGTTCCTCTGGCAGGCCGCTCCCACGTACGCTGCCGTCACTCAGATGGAGTACTTGGACATGGTGGTGAGCGAATCCATCCGGCTCTACCCCGCCGGGGGCCGGATCGAGAGGGTCTGCAAGAAGACAGTGGAGCTCAATGGAGTGACTATTCCAGAGGGAATGGTGGTCATGATCCCAGCCTTCGTGCTGCACCGGGACCCACAGTACTGGCCAGAGCCGGACGAGTTCAGGCCTGAGAGGTGAGGGCCACAGAGGGGAATAGCTGCATGCTCAACCTCAGCCCTGGGAGTGGGAATGGCAGCAAAAGTGGGGAATGCATGATTATAACATTTAAATTAGGCATTTATCATTGTCTGACATCTAGTCCCAGCATTACTGTGAGGGGAGTTTTATGATCTACATCCATAAACTGTGCATGGAATTTAATTAACTGCATTGAAGGGAGCAACAGTGAGAGCAGCTCCCAGCAGCTGTAACACTGAGGGGTTTATGGCCAGATATTAAAGCAAGAGCCATTGGGTGACTGGCACAATGCCCTGCAAATCAGCAGTGGAAGGGCAAAGATGGGTAGGAAATAAAACTTAATTTTAACTCAAGTTCTGAAGCAATCTTTGCTTAGGAGCTCTGTCAGACCCTGCAAAATGATGCAATAGCCCAAGGCAGACCTGGGATACCACAAAACTAATAATCTTCAGGTGGCCAGCAAGACATTGATGCTTGGTCCAGAGAGAGCAGGACCAGACCTCTGCCCTTGCACCAAGAGCTGAAATACCCCTGGAAACTAATCCTGGTGTGGGGACATGGTGACCTTTGAGACAAAACATGGCAGTGATATCAGGCAGAAGCACCTGTGGAGCCTGTGGTCACCTTGTGCTGGATTCAGAAGGAAACACCCAAATGCAAGTGCTCTGGCAGTGGGCCAGGCTACACCAGTTGCTCCAGTAGCCACATCCTTATTCCAGTTGTCAAACTTGGCATGGGTAGCTGGACAGGAGCTCTTTAGGGCTCGCTTGCCTTGCTGGGAGTTCATCAGAGGGACGTGCTGGTGTTTCAGTAGTGAGATACTTCACTTCTGACTTAGCTGAGGTTTGTACCTCATGCACTGGGAATGGAAAGCTTTCTGACATGAAAACCAACTGATCACTAAGAAGTATTACTGAAAATGCTCAGTGGCAAATTTCTCTGTGAAGCTGATTGTTCTTCCCTGTTTTTCATGATGAGGGAAGGAATTGGACTGGCATGTCTCAAAAGCAGCCCTGCCTTTAGTCACGCAGGGGGAGAACTCCATCTTTGTGTTTGCTCAGTCCTTTGATCTACAGGGAAGCTGTGGAGCTGTAGACCTGTGTGGTTTAGGGTTTGAAATCTGGGTTCAGTTTTGGAGCTGAGAGGGAGTTCTGAGAAAAGAGCAGTTATGAAATCCATTAGCGTATTTCAGGTATTCCCAGGACACCCAGTGCACCTGGATTTGCACAACCAAGTCTGAGCACTGGGATGAAAGCAGAGGCATAACATATCTATTGAGACAGAAATAAGGGACTTAGCTTCTAATATGCACAGAAACACAAAAGGCTTTTCCCTTCCCAGACCCCTCATTGCTTAGATTTGGAAGCTAACACATCCTGCAACAGAGTGGCTCTTGCTAACTCGTTCTTTTTTTTTGTTATAATCAGGTTCAGTAAAGAGAACAAAGAGGGTATTGACCCCTACACCTTTCTGCCATTTGGGGCTGGCCCCAGGAACTGCATAGGGATGAGGTTTGCTCATCTTGTTGTGAAAGTGGCTGTGATTGTCCTGTTGCAGAACTTCTCATTCAGACCCTGCAAAGACACACCGGTGAGGATGTGGGGTGATGTCTCTCATTATCTGCCCCTTACTCTCTCTGAGATGGTCCTACTGTTACATGGGAAAAACTATTTAAATCTTCTCAGTTAATTGTAAGGGGTTCACCACAAGTTACTTATGCTTTTTTTTAAAAGCCTCTACAGAAGCATATTTAATGTTGGTGGGATGTTTTAGGCTGAAATCCCTGAAGTCCTGTGCCTATCTTTGGGTGCACCTAAATTGTGGGGTGCTCTCTCTCCCCCACAGTGCACTGTTGGTCTGTTTGACCCAGTTTAGGAAGACTCTGCTCCAGAGAGCAGGAAGAAAATATCCCCCAGCCCTTGCCAAAGCTGTGTTTTGCAACACAAACATGGCTATTCTCTGGGGGACATACCAAGACACCAAAATTCATCTCTTGTGACCCAGGGATGTCCTTAAAGGGTAGCACAATTTTCAAGCAAGCCCAAAAATGGGTTAAGTTTGAATTGGTGACCCTCTCCCTCTTTGGGGCTATGCAGGATCCCACCAGGCTTTGGTTTTGCCCAGGATCCCAGTGAATGCTGCATGCAGTACTGATGGGATGGGCCTTGCAGGGTGGGAGTATTTGACATAAAATAAATGCAGGAGCTGTTGGAAATGATGTGTCAGTCCAGCCCTGCTGAGAGCACAGCAGCTCCTGTGCCTCAGGCAGGCAGCACCACGGTGATTCCAGCCTGACCCAGCTCCCTCCACTCACTGCTGCAAAAGGCCTGGGCCATTGTTACATTCTGTTGGTGAGGAGAGCTTGGGAAATCAGAGCAGAGGGGGCAACAAGTCACTCAGAGGACGTTTGTTGTAAGAAACAGAAAAGTCCTTATTAAATTATTACTTGGCACGGGTGCTCAGCTGGAATCTTTGCAGATTCAGATTGCAGCTCAACTGGTAACCTGGAGGTGAAAGACTGTAATAGTCCATTAACAATGCAGTGACCTATCCACCCTCCCCCAAGTCTAATGACATTTTTCTAGTCCTCTGCAATCCATAAAATTGATTCTTTTTATAACTGCCTTTAATTAAAAGGAGACAAGTTAAGTATGTATTGTATTATTGGTGCCCATAGGTTTATGGGGCTCTTTCAGCCCTTTTTTCTACAGAAGGTGTCATGTACATCAGAGTGGGAGGGAAAATTTCATGCTGGAACATCCCTTTGGAATATGTATATGGAAGCTGCAGCCTCCTCTCACTGCTCCACTGATGACACATTGGGCTCCAAGCCATATTGCTTAAATTTCCTGAAACAAAGCTCACTGGGATATGGGGGGGTGAATGTGGCCTGTTGGGCTGGGGTGTGTCACCCTTGTCCTGGTGGGGAGAGAGGGAGCTGGGATATGAGCAGCATCCATTGGTGGGGGAGACTGAAAAAACACCTTTCCCTCCCTTGCAAGATGATTCCTCCAACACCAGCTTTAAATGTTTTTCATCATGAGATTCCCAGCCTACCCCATGGAAACCTTTCATGTTGAGGATGCTTTTGCTTTGCTACTTGGTCTAAGCAGCAATCTTAGTTTTCCTCTTCCTGGAGAACTTATTGCTCCTCCAGCTCCCATTATGATCTAGCTGCCCTCAGTACTGACACACTTGTGCATTAAACAAAATGGCACTGCATGTCCCCATTTATCTGCAGCACCCTGGCTGGGCTCTGGCTGCTCTTCCCTCCTCGTGCAGCCTGTTGATCAGTGCACTGAGCTCTTTATACCACGTGAAAGGCAGAGCTCACCAACCAGTTTATCCAAGAGCTGAGGGCTGTTAAACACCTGCTGGTGGCTGCTTTGCATGAGCAATAGTGATGGTCCTGCTGTAAGTACACCTGTGAGCTGGGAAATGCATTGAAAACAAGTGGTAGGTGGGATGTGTGTGAGCTGTAGGGCTCCTGTTGTCCTGTCTGTCCTTTCTCCCAGCTGATGTGGCTGTTTCTTTGTTTTTCCCTCCTGCTCAAGATCCCACTGGTCCTGGACTCGAAAGGTTTCATGCAGCCAAAGAAGCCCATTGTCCTGAAGATGGTCCCCAGAGCCCAGGCTGACCTGAAGAAGTGAAGGAAGCGGGATCAGAGCAAGAGACTCTTATTTAATGGTGCCTCCTCCGGCTCTTGAGAGGGGACCAGGTTAATGTGTGCTCTGTAGGAGTGTCAGGGGGTCAGCCCCCCCATTTCATGGGGGTTTGGCCCAGCACAATTACATGAGCATTATTCTAATGAACATGAGCCCCAGGTCCTGCTGTCCCCAGTCACAATAGGCATTTTGCAAGACCATTTGCACTCCAGTTATTTGGGCATTTTTTTCTCTCTCTCTGAAGAGGCACTTTTCTAAGCAATTTGATTCTAGACACTGTCAGTCTCTTCTGGCAGTGTAATTTAAATCAAGATGGGGAGAGCAAATTGCACATAGTTAAGTAATGCTGCCATTGCTCCTGTTCCCTGTGCCTGCTGGGTGATTCTGTGTGTCTCCTGCTTTTATTCTCCTGGGAATGCAGAGTTGTCCAGGGCGTTTCCTCAGCTCTGTGCTATGACCCTGACAAATGTTAAAATGGTCACGTCCTTACAGGACTGAATGCCTGCAGCAGATTTTCTGATGCTGATTTATTTCGATTTTGGTATGATTTTAGATGGCTTTTGTGTGATTCCAAGTGCAGATGGGTTAACTGGAGGAGCCCAGAGAGAAGCAGTTACCCCTAAGGACTGGAGATTTGCAGAGTGGGAGAGAAGTGTCCCACATGTGTTTCCTGATTGTTTGCTTATTTTATCGTGGGCATGCAGCCACCTGCCATGGGAGGGATTGTCAACATAGGCACCATCCATATTCTTATCATGACACCTTTTAGTCTGATTTATATTAGGCCACTGTGAGACCAACTTAACTAATAATTATGCAAGATGCAGCACTGAGAGCCTTCAGATGTCCTGGGCAATCCTGTCTGGAAGAAAGGTGCCTTTGCCTATTTAAAGTTTCAAAATCTTGCCAAACTTTGTAGTTTTTGTACAGTCTAGGATTTCATATTATTCCTTCATAAACTGCTGCAGGAATGCTAACTGCAATAAAAAGTTCACTTGCCTCTGCTGTGTCCAACTGATGCCAGTCTCTGCTGCTGTGCTTTCTCCATACAAGTGACTCCATCTGGAGATCTCATAAGCCTTTGGCCAGGTGATGAAAACTCTTTTTATCCTGGATGAATCCCTGTGGGTACCATAAATCCTAGGAGCTGCTCCTGGAGGTGCAGAGCTGAAGGTACAACAGCCCAAAAGGAACAGCTGAGCAGAGTCATTGAGGGTGTGAAGTGATTCCTATTGCAAAAGGAATTTTATTCACTACATAGCAGTTTTTATATTTCTTTTATATTCTTTTTTTATAGAGGTAGATAGATTATACATTTGTTATTATATATTCTTTTCATACTTACTTTCTATATTTTTTAGGAATTGAGCAGAAAACCTCAGAAGGGATATAATAACCTTTCTGCAGCAAATTAAATTCCCCAGTGAAAGACACCCTTGACTGGAAGTGTAGGGGAGGAGTGAGGCTGCTTCTCTAGAGAGCCATCAATGAGCTGGGTGAGAGGGTTAGAAAATTCCCAGCAGCTCAGGCAGCCATGGCTTGCCCTTCTGCCCTCCTCACCTGCAGCACTGCAACTCCCTTCTGCCACCAATGTCCAAAAGTGACAATCCATCTTTGTTTTCAGCTGTTGCTGTCCTCTTTTCCAAAGTCAAGGCAGGGTTTGTGACAGCACATGGACTAAATGTACAAGCAGTCAGACCCCTGGAGGACAGACAGCTGAAAAGTGCCTGCACCATCACAGTGGTTCATAACAAGGGGCATGGAAAATCCTCTGCCTTGAGAAGTGACCAAGAAGATGAGGGTGACAAAGTCACCTGCAGTGTCACAGGGATGAATTAATGGCCTTGCTGGGGCAAAGGCCAGAGCTTGCCTGTGGCAGTGAGAAAAGGGTTTTGCCTCCTCACCCCATGCCCATGATGGAGTTAATCACTCACAGAGAAATGTCAACACTATGGGAAAACATCCTTCAGGATAATCTCTCTCACAAAGCTGCTTAACATTTTGGAAATACAGAGTTCACTTGGAGGTGTCAAAGGGTTTCAGCCCCTCTCATGTCTCTTCAAAGGCATCTTCATCTGCTGCACCCTGTGCCAAGGGAGTGGGGGAGCAGGGCTGGGCTGGGAACGCTGCTGTACCTGCAGAGAGATGGACACAGCACTGCCTCATCCCCCAGCACCTGGTGGGGTTCTGCCACATCTCATCTTTGTTTTGCTGAATTTTGTGCTTAAGAGCAGGAAGCACACATCTGTATGGGTTTCCAAGTGTCCTAGAGGGAGGTTTGCCAACAGATTTGTGGAGTGGTTTGGGTGAGATCTTGCAGTGGGGAAATGCTTGGATGCTGAATTCTCCAGCAGGTTCAGTACCTGGGATGCTGTTTCTTGGGTTTATTCCAGACTGAGCAGCTGTCTGGGAGATGTTTGGTGTCAGCCCTTTCTGGTCTGATTTCCAGGGGTAACCACTCCCCCATGTCTAGGGGAAATGGAGCTGTGCTCTTCCACAGTCCTGTGCCTCAGTTTACTTGCACCTATAATTTTTTAAAGATTATTTACACTTAGGCAATAGTGAAATTTGATGTGTGTCCACCTTATGCCATGCTTTGATTCAGATTCCAGTGAGGTCCCAGAGTGAGCAAATGGGTTTCCTTTCAGAGGGCACTACAGCAGAAGTATTCAGGAGCTCCCCTAATATACTCCAGCTGCTGACAGCTTGGAGCAAGTCCTCCACTCCCCCTAAAAAATATCCAGGATGACTGTAGGGCCTCAGCATGAGCTCCTCTGCTCTGCATATCCTCTCCTACAGCAGAGCACTGCTTCCCAGAGCCAACAGGCTCAGCTCAGCACAGCTCCTTCTGGAAGGACAGTCCCCCCTCGAGTGGCATCACTCCAGTCTGCTCCTACTCATTCCTCTTCAGTTATTTTGGCTCCTTCCAAGCCAGAGCACCCATTTGCACTTCACAGGATGCTCCCTCTCTGAAGTGCTCTCACTGTGGGCTCCCTGTGTGCCCCAGTGTTCCCAGGGCCAGGCTCATGTAGACTAATCATGCCTGCCACAATTTACAAGAAACATGGAGCTCTCCTGCTCCTGACCCTGGCTTGCATAGAGGTTGTCTGTATTATTGCTGCTGCTGCTGTACTGTACCCGCTGCTGAGGAGAGACAGGCCTCCAGACACCCGTATTGAATGCTCAATTTGGTTAAAATCAATGAGATAATCAGCCCACAGAGTCTGCCCAAAGGTCAGGAAGCAGTGATTTTTTTCCTCCAGCAACTTTGGTCCTGAGCTCTTGTTTCAGTGTGAAGATTGCAAGCCAAAGCACTTCAGCAGGTAGGTTATCAAGGGGTTCTGAGTGCTGGTGGTTAGCTGACAGGCTGATGTAACAAGGGCCTAACAAGGGCTCCTAAAACAGGCAGGTAAATTTTGGCAGCACTTTTTTCTCTAAATAAACCAGGAGATGGTGCAGGGCAGGCTGGTGTCCTGCAAGGCAAAATGCAAAGAGCCTCGAAGAGGAACCCACCAATGTGGAGAAAGAGGAGGAGGATGGCAGGAGAAGGAGGTGCTGTGGGAAGGACCAGGTGGGGATAACCCTTTTTACTCACTCCATTCCCCAGATTTCATCCCCCATCTTGTGTCTCCTCAGTCCCACAGCAGCTGTCACCAGAGGCAAAGGCCGCAGCAGGGGGAGGATCCATCTCACCCCTCTCATCACTGCAGCACTCGCTCTCCAGCAGCTGGACACACGACATACTGCAGGCTGGATTTGCAGAAACACTTTGATCTTTCATCTTTAAGCTCAGTGATTCAATCCCCCACAGAGCCAAGGTAAACGGCGGCGCTGCCGCTCCGGCGGGCCCGAGGTTCCAAGTCAAACAGCAGTCGTTTAACCACACTTTTAAAGCTCGTATCATTTGAATGTCATATGTCAAACTGATGCTACTTCCACTGAAGGCAAATAGCTGTTTATTCCCCTCACAGCTGCCCAGCAGTCTGACATTCATTACCAAAGCCTTGCAGCTGCCAGGGATTGAAGCTACCTGTAGGAGTGCGTCCATCACAGCCTTCCACCTCTTAAGGGTTATTCCCTGCAATACCAGCTCATACAGCTTAGTTCAGGCTCATTTTACAGCTGCTGTCGTTCTGCACTTGTTTTTTCCTATGTCTGAACAAGGTCAGGCATTGCTTTTTGCCCGTTCCCTCCCAAATTATGTCGTTAGCTCATTTTTCATGGTTTCTCCAGGGTTCAGGCTCGCTGTCACTGTGCACCAGCCCCTGAGGTTTATGATGTGAATGTTCCACGGCTGTGGGCAGCAACCAGCGCACAGGACTGCCATGCTGGTGGTCCAGTCTTGGCATCTTGATGCAGCTCCAGCTCTCCTTGAGGCCAGCACTGAGAATTCTATTTCTGGGACGTAAGTTCATGCACGAAATACCTGATATTTTGTAGTTTACTAGTCACTAAAATGTTCAATTGGCTGCAGAGGAGTTTACAGAAGAGAGGAAAAAAAAAAAAAAAAAGAGGCAACAGAGATGATCAGATTAGTTTGCATTTAGACAGTGCCCTGAACCTCACAGAGCAATTTACACCTGTGCGAGGAATCTGCAGAGTTCTATCGAATCAGACCTGGGGCGTTTTACAGCCACTTTGCACGAGCATAAACGACAGCATAAGGTGCAAAGGAAACAGCCGGCCGGACAATTACAGAGCGTCTTCACACGCCTTATTAATCCTCATTACAGCCCTCTGTGCTGAGACTCGGCGTCTTTCCTTCCCCGAGCAGGGCCAGCGAGGCTGTGGAGCCAATTTAGCCACCTGCCAAACTCGGGGTCTGACTGCTGCTATTGACGTGTCCTTGGTCCTGGGGAGCTGGAGGCTCCTTGCGAGAGCCTGAGATGCATCTTGCTAAATTACAGTGATGGAAATCTCGGCTGCCTCCTGCCTTAGCAGGATTCTGAGCGATATGTGTTGTTATGCTCAGCTCTCTGTATGTCTTATTGTCCATTTTTTTCCTCTTTAAAGCTTAGCTGTGGGTGTCTCAGGAAGGTGGGGTGATGCTCATCTGAA